TGTTCACCTTCATTTAAACATGTGTCGAGTTCACATCGACCCTTGCCATCTGGCACACTGAACCGGCACAAGACGCCAGACGATGAGCGACAGTGCACGCTTCTGTCTTCCATTTCTGTTTTGCTTTTGGGCTGTTCATCCTCCTCCTCCAGAACCACCGCTGCCTGAAGCTGGGAGTCAGGATGGACAGGGGCGGGGCCCGGATGGACAAGGGACGCAACCCAGGACTGGCCGGAAGTTGGCTTGCTGCTCCCTAACTTTCCTATTTTAAAACTTCAGGTTACCAGGTTGTGACTTCTTTAAAAAATGGTTTTTTAAAAATATACTTTTACTTATTTTATTTTTAAATATATTTTTATTGATTTCAGAGAGGAAGAGAGAGGGATAGAGAGAGAGAAACATCGATGATGAGAGAGAATCATTGATTGGCTGCCTCCTGCACACACACCCCCACTGGGGATTGAGCCCGCAACCCAGGCATGTGCCCTGACCGGGAATCGAACTGTGACCTCCTGGTTTGTAGGTCGATGCTCAACCACTGAGCCACACTGGCCAGGCAAGTTATGACTTCTTGACCTCCCTCTTGTGAGGTTAGTCTGACAATGACTGTTTCCCAGGTTGGGAGGGTGGGTGGCTAGGGTTGCTTCTGTTTTTGTTTGTTTTTTACTGTCTAAAGCTCAAATATAACATTGGGGGCTGATACCTTTAAAAATATAACATTTTTTTCTGTGTTTCCTATCAGTTGGGGTACTTCTCCCCACATATTGGAAATAGTGTCACTTTAAATGGTTGAAGCTCTGGTGACCAACACTGAGTTCAGGCAAGCAACATTGATTTTTGTGTCCAGCCTGGCCTTTTGCCATCCTTGGTGCTTAAATGTCAGATTCCAGCCTCCAGCCCAGACTGGCGTGTCTCCCATTCTCACAAAGCAAACGACGCCGCGATCTGCTCCTGTTCTTTGCGGTTCAAACAAAAGGAACGGGATTCTTTAAGATCGCGTCCCTTTCTCAGAGGACCAGCCCTGGACTTGGGGCGCGTTCCTTTTCCGAGGCTGCCCTGAGAGATGACCGCCAGCTGGGTGGCTTCAGACCACAGAGATTCCCTCTCCAGGCCTGGAGGCCAGCGTCTGAGGTCCAGGTGTTGGGGGGCCCTCCGGAGGCCCCGCGGGAGAGTCTGTGCCAGGACTCTGCTGTTCGAGAACCTACTAGAGACCCCAGTGGGTCGGGGGTGAGGAGCTGGGAGACGACAACTGGGTCATCGAGGTGGTGGGTGGAGCCTGGGGCCGATGACACGTGGGTGTGCATGGTGTGTTCACATGTCTGTGTGCGTGTGTGTGTGTGTGTGCGTGTGCGTGCATGTGCTCACACGTGCACCTGTGCCGGTGCGGGATGAGGGCAGTGGCACTCGGGCTAGAGCTCCATGGACGGAACTGGCTTGAAGGTAGACATTTGGTGGCTTGCGGGCTGAGGTGGTGACTTCTGAACTCTTCATGGAGCATTTCAAACATACAGCGGAAGAGAACCGTGTAACGTGCTCCCAGCCCCAGGACCGACATTCCCCGGCCTCCGTTTCATGCCCCCCACCCCTGCCCCCCGCCCCGTGCCTCCCTCATCAGCCTTGGGTGCTCACCTGGAACCTCAGCCCCTTGGGCCATGGCCTTGGGCTGTGGGGGCCGGAGAAGCAGCTGCAGCCCCTTGGGGTTGAGGACTTTCTGCTGGAGCACAAGCCAGCGTGGTCCCCAGAGCAGGCCCGGGGGGTGGGGGGGGAGTGCCGGGCACAGCGGGGGTGGGGCCGCGTGTGCTTACTGTGTGTGACTGAATAGTTCGGTTTATTTATTTATTTATTTTTTTTTAATATATTTTATTGATTTTTTTTTTTTTTTTTACAGAGAGGAAGGGAGAGAGATAGTTAGAAACATCGATGAGAGAGAAACATCGATCAGCTGCCTCCTGCACATCTCCTACCGGGGATATGCCCGAAACCCAGGTACATGCCCTTGACCGGAATCGAACCTGGGACCTTTCAGTCCGCAGGCCGACGCTCTATCCACTGAGCCAAACCGGTTTCGGCATTCGGTTTATTTTTGACCGTCACCCAAGGGTATGTTTAGAGAGAGGACAAGAGAGAAACGTCAATCGGTTCCTCCCATATGCGGCCTGACCAGGAATTGAACCTGAAACCTGGGTATGAACCCCAACTGGGAATGGAGCCCCCGACCTTTTGGTGTGTGGAATGACACTCAACCGCCTGAGCTACCCGGCCAGGGCTGAACAGTCGTTTTAACCGGGTGTGTGGGATGCCGTTGGTTGAAAACTGGATAAGAAGTCCTTTAACCTGGTGCCCACCCCCTGGTCTAGAAAACGTGGGGTTGGTGCTGACTTGGGGCCGAACCCGGTGGGTCAGGCTCCTCTGCTGGTTGTAACTTCACCTCTTGGTGCTTTTGCCTGAACTCGGCCCGGGGGGAGGACTAAGCTGCACACACGTGCCCCTTGGGGGTCCCGGTTACGTCAGCCTGGCTGTTAGAGGGACGTGGGGGCCAACAGAGCAAGTCCCAGCCAAAGCAGCGGAAGGAAATAATGCTGTCTTGGGTCGTAGCCCAAGAGCCAGGGACATGTGAGTCCCCGCTGGTGGGAGGGGGACGAGGTCCCGCTCCCTCAGGGGGCCCTCCCTGCTCCTGGTGAGGCTGCAGGGCACCGGCTTCCCAAGGAGGACAGCGCGGAAAGAGGGTCTCTCTCCCTTCCCCCCTGAAATCAATAAAGATATAATTTAAAAGAGAGAGAAGAACAAAAATAAAGATAAAAAAAATAAACTGCAGGTGTGTACTGCACACAGTGAGGGTGCCTTAGGGCAGCGATCTTAAACCGGAGTGCCATGAGGGTTTTTTAAAATCCCCAGTTCTTTTTAAAATTATGTTTTTATTGATTTCAGAGAGGAAAGAGAGGGAGGGATGGAAACATCAATGATGAGAGAGAATTATTGATCAGCTGCCTCCTGCACGCCCCCTACTGGGGATCCAGCCCACAACCCGGGCATGTGCCTGGATCAGGAATCCAACCATGACCTCTTGGTTCCTGGGTCAAGATGCTCAACCACTGAGCCACACCAGCCAGGCATGAACCCCTACTTCTGAGCCAGGCATTGTGCTAGGTACTTTTCATGCACACTTTAAAAAATATATTTTGTTTTAATTGATTTTTTGGGGAGAGGGGGAGAGAGAGAGAAACATCAATGATGAGAGAGAATCACTGATCAGCTGTCTCCTGCACACCCCTTACTGTGCATCAAGCCCACAACCTGGGCATGTGCCTTGACCAGGAATCAAACCGTGACCCCTTGGTTCCTGGGTCGACAGTCAGCCGCTAAGCCACACTGTCCAGGCTCATGCGTACCTTTTCACAGCAACCCTCCAGGGCTGGAGTTTTTGGTTTTTTTTTAAAATATATTTTATTGATTTTTTACAGAGAGGAAGGGAGAGAGATAGAGAGTTAGAAACATCGATGAGAGAGAAACATTGATCAGCTGCCTCCTGCACATCTCCTACTGGGGATGTGCCCACAACCCAGGTACATGCCCTTGACCGGAATCGAACCTGGGACCCTTCAGTCCGCAGGCCGACGCTCTATCCACCGAGCCAAACCGGTTTCAGCAGGGCTGGAGTTTTTATTATCTCCACTTCTCAGTGAGGAAATGGAGGCTCAGAGAAGCCAAGGAACTAATCCAAAGTTACACAGCAATTAAGTGACAACCTGGGGACTCCCAAGTCACAAGGGGAGGGACTTATTTTTTTGCCAACCGGTTTCCCCCCCCCCCTTTCCCCTCCCTCCTCGCTGTTACCCTCTGCGTGGGGAGCTGCCATCATTACTGTGGCCCAGAGGCTCAATCAGGGGCTGTCCCTAAGGGACCTGACTAAAGCAATCCCCCGCCCAAAGGGCCTCCTGAGTTGAAGTTTTAATTAGCCATCACTGCTCTTCCCAGAACCCTGGCCTGCCCAGGGCGACACCAGCCCAGGCCAGCTCTGCGGCAGGAGGCAGGACTGGCCTCCAACCCAACCAACAGCACAGCTGCAGCCACCCAGCACGGGAGGGGTGTGCCTGGGCCCTGCCCCACCCCGCTTCCTGGCCCCCTGCCGGGAGGATTTTTACAACAGGCAGTGCCTGACTGTGTACCAGGGGCACTGACCTCTTTTCCCTTCGATTGTCAAGTTAAAAAAAATGATAACAGCCAACCCATCAATAGCTGTCTGGTATGAACGAATCAAAATCATACCTTTTTTTTTGTCAGATCGGCAAAAAATATATCTATTTTTGGTGTGCCGCAGAATTTTATTAGTTTCTGTGCCATGAGATGGAAAAGGTTGAAAGCCCACAACCTGGGCATGTGGGCACTTTAGTGACGGGCACTTTCCCACAGGCCTAGCGGAGCCTCCCGGGTCCTTGCGGAAACCGTGACATGAAACTCCACAGAGGTGGGTAGTCTCTTCTTCTCTTGGCTTGTTTTTATTTTATTTTTGTTTTGTTTCATTTATTTTTATTAATTTCAGAGAGGAAGGGAAAGGGACAGAGATAGAAACATCAGTGATGAGAATCATTGATCCAGTGCCTCCTGCACGCCCCCTACTGGGGATGGAGCCCGCAACTGGGCACGTGCCCTGACGGGGAATCGAACCGCGACCTCCTGGTCCATAGGTCGACGCTCGACCACTGAGCCTCGCTGGCCGGGCGGCGTGTGTGTTTAGAGTGGATGCTCTCTCTGTTCTTTGGGGTATAGTGTTTGTTTGTTTGTTTTTGTTTTTTGTTTTTTTGTGCTTGCTTCAGTAGCACATACACTAAAAAAATATGAATGATACAGAGAAGATTAGCATGGCGGCTGTGCGAGGGTGACGCAAGTTCATCAAGCGTTCCATATTAAAAAAAAATTTTTTTTTAACAACTTCAAACTTTCTAGGCAAAGCTGTGAGTTTATGTCACATTGGCCGAGTCAGTCCCCAGCCTGGGCTTACATTTCTTTATCTGTTAAAGCAAAGCAGGGAGGCCATTTGGGCTGGAAGGTGGCCTCCGCTGCACTGCAGTGTTCTAGAACTTTCCATGTTAATGCGTGTGGCGTTTCCCAGGCCACCAGCTGCCTGTGGGTTTTCTTTTGACTGAAAATTTTTGAAAACTACATTTGTCCGACTGATGTACACCTTACGGTGAAGGTCACGCTTTGGGCCCACGGCTCTGACCTTTGGCAAATGTGCCCCGTGGAGCGACCACCACCATAGACAGGACGGTTTCCTGCTTGCAGAAAGTCCCCTCGTCTTCGTGTGGTCAGCGCTTCACCCACCTTGTGACCCTGACCTGTGCTCTGTCCCCATGCACCGGGTGCTCCCAGGGACGTGATGGTCAGCGCTTCACCCACCTTGTGACCCTGACCTGTGCTCTGTCCCCATGCACCGGGTGCTCCCAGTGACGTGAACAGCGCATCTCCGCCCGGGCCATGGCCAGTGTGAGGTCCAGCCGCCCCAGCTGCATCCGGGCCGCGTTCAGCGCCACCAGCACCAGGGCCGGCCTCCGCCGGAGGCAGAGGAACGCGCTCCATCGCCTCAAGGTGCTTCCCCGCAGCCTTTCCCTCTCCCGGGAATGGGGCGGGGGTGGGGGCGGGCGAGGGGACCCTGTGTACCCGAGACCAGGAACCCCTGCCCTGGGCCCGGCCGCCTGAGAAACAGGTGCTTGGCGTCATCCTTCCAGGTCTTTTTCTCTTCCCCGAGTCAGGTGTTCACATCCCCTGTCCTTAGGGAGCCTGTCTTTTTTTTTTTTTAATATATTTTATTGATTTTTTACAGAGAGGAGGGAGAGAGATAGAGAGTTAGAAACATCGATGAGAGAGAAACATCGATCAGCCGCCTCCTGCACATCTACTGGGGATGTGCCCACAACCCAGGTACCTGCCCTTGACCGGAATCGAACATAGGACCTTTCAGTCCGCAGGCCGACGCTCTATCCACTGAGCCAAACCGGTTTCGGCGGGAGCCTGTCTTTTGATTAAGAAAAGAAAAAGGAAGAGTTGCTTTCCCCGGCAGCCTGGGTTTGCTGGGGAGGGTTCTAGAATGTCTGCCGAGCAAGGCCTGGCCGCGTCCGGACCTCAGCGTCTGCATCCTCAGGGAAGGGTTGGTGGACGCCTGGTTCTCCCCGGAGTGCAGCTGTCCTGGCGGGTCCCCGGGACATTTTTGCTCTTCCCAGTGCGCTCGCGGGTGGGTGGTCGCCGCCAGGTCTGTCTCCTGCGCTTCTGGTTCCTGGTCCGGGGAGGCCCAGCTTTGCGTTTCAGTCCCTCAGCCAAACCTCTAAGGCAGGGGTCCTCAAACTACGGCCCGCGGGCCACATGCAAATACAAATATTACATTTGTTCCCGTTTTGTTTTTTTACTTCAAAATAAGATATGTGCAGTGTGCATAGGAATTTGTTCATAGTTTTTTTTTTTAAACTATAGTCCGGCCCTCCCACGGTCTGAGGGACAGTGAACTGGCCCCCTGTTTAAAAAGTTTGAGGACCCCTGATCTAAGGGCTCTACTGCCCCTGCTCCGGCTCCTCCTTGCCAGTCCCCGCCCCTGGCAGAGACCATGGGCGCGGGCAGTGGGCACCCGTGCTCTTGCCTTTGAACATTCAGCAGCCGCCTGCTTCCCTTGATTGGAAGGATTGTTCAACCCCTTTTCCCCAGGTCAATCACAGGAAGAACCACGTGGACTTCGTGGAAGGTATCTGGAGAGAGGTACGTTCAACCATGAGCTGGCAGCCACTCTTAAGTTTTATTTATTTTAATTTTTTATTAATTTGAGAGAGAGAGAGAGAGAGAGGAAGTGGGGAGAGAAAAACATCAATTTATTGTTCCGCTTGTTTATGCATTCATCGGTTGACTTGTATGTGCCCTGGCCGGGGACCAAGCCCGCAACCTTGGCATATTGGCAGGATGCTCTAACCAGCTGAGCCACCTGGCCAGGGCCGCCAGCAGCCCCTTATGTAGGGGATGGCGGGAGCCGTCCTGAAACCCCAGTCCCCAGGGCGAGCCCGGGGCCAGCCTTGCCAGCTGACCTGGGGAACAGCCTTCAGCCTGCTTGCAGACCCTTTCTGCACGGTACTGGTGACATATTTTAGGAAAAACTTCATTCTGATATTTAAATTATTTTTACTCTTTCAAAAAAATTTTAAATAAGGAAAAAAAAGACTCGAAGTATTTTTGTCTGGACAGTTGACAAGTGTCAGCTTACAATTCATCAATTTCAAAATTCTCAATTAAAATGAATTCCAAAGGTCAGGGGTGAGGAGGGCTGCTACTAGACGTCCAAAAAGCTCCAAAGCCGTTGGCCGTGGTGGCAGCCCCGGGGGTGGTGTGGCGGTGGCGCCTGAACTGTGGCTCACCCTGCGGCTCACAGGTGCTGCCCAGGGGCGTGGACAACAGACCACGGCGCCTTTCAAAATAGGGAGCCGTGGGACCTGAGGGCTCATTTCAGCTTCTCTCAGCCACTGTGCCAGGGCGGTGGGCAGCGAGGGGGTCTGTGCAGGCCTGGTCAGGGCGCAGGAAGGGCCGAGTTTGTCCTGCCCCAGGGACTCTGTGCCTTGGAGGGGATGTTGGGAGGGGATGGGCTCAGGCCCCCTGGTGGTAGGCCGGCCCGTGGACGGAGTCAGCAGGGGCCTGACCCAGCGCTGGACGAGGGCTTTCATCACAGGGCTCTGCCTGGCCGGGGCCGCGGCAACAGTGGTTGTTGCGGCCAAAGGTAAACTGAGTGGGGGGGTGAAAGGATTAAGGAAAGACAGATAAGAGAATGAAAGCTGGGTCTCGGTGGGACGCTGCTCCCGGATGAGGAGACAGCGCCAGCGCCAGCGCCCACAGCCGTGTCTTTATTTTATAGCAGATGCCACGAGGCAAAGTAGGGGCGTGATCACGTTGTTTACAGCATTCTCGTGAGTTTCAACCTCACTCAACTACATGCACCTGAACTCTACCCCAAGGCACGTGGGGCCACGTGTTCGGACCATAGGTTCAAGCTCACAACCACAGCCGTTGGCTATGATGGTGCTGGGAGGGCCCTGCCCTCCAGCTGGGACTAGCACGTGGCAGTGAGAGGACCCTGTCCTTTCATTAGTCCGAGGCTTGATCCTGGCCATAACACTGTGGCCGCGCCCCATAGGTGCTCCCTCAGGCGCGCTGGGTGCCATGTGACTGAGGCAGGTTAAAGGATCTGTTTGGGAGGCAGGCCACGCCAACTTTGCCGGCATAGGTGAGGGAAGCATGGCCGTAGACCAGGAGCTGCACCGGCCCGCTGCTGGGAGGGGCTCAGGGGCTTTGGCGTCAGTTTTTAGATCCTCACGCGGGTTTGGAGGACACCCCCGCCCACCTGGCCTGTGGCTTCAAGGACTGTTCTCCAGGGGACGTGACCGGCCACGGGCCTGCGCACACACCCACCTCCGGGAGCCCAGACGTCCACTCCCGAGACCCCCTCTCGTCAGAAGGCCCAGCCGTGAAGGCCACCGGCGGGGCTCCCGCGCCCCTGGGGGACAACGACGTGGACATGCAGCCCGCAGAAATGACGGAGGAAGACGGGGGGCCCCTCCTCCCTGCCGGGGAGCCCCCCGAGACTGGCCGGCGCCTGCAGGGCAGGGCCAGAGTGTCACGGCCGCCACCCAGACTCGCGAGTGAGAAGGACAAGGCGCCCAAGCTCTCACTGTCCAAGAGGAAACTGGAGCTTCTGCTGTCGGAGCCCGAGAAGAGGAAGAGGAGGAAGCAATACGCGGCCTAGACCCAGGTGAGCGGGGGCGGGAGGGCAGAGGGGGGCTGGGGCTGGGGGGGGCAGGGGTGGGCGGGACCCGGGCGGAGCTCCCGCTGTTGGAGGAGCAACACAGCCCCATCTCATTCTGCTGTCTCACCTGTGCCGCTCCAGGGACATCTGAGCTGATGGCTTTTTTAATTTTTATTTTTTTGGCAAACATTTAAAAAGTGTATTTTGATTGACTTCAGAGAGGAAGGGAGAGGGGGAGAGAGAGAGAGAAAGCAACATGAATGATGAGAGAGAATCCTTGATCGGCTGCCTCCCACACACTTCCTACTGGGGATCGAGCCTGCAACCTGGGCATGTGCCCTGACTGGGAATCGAATCATGGCCTCTGGGTTCCTAGGTCGAGGCTCAACCGCTGAGCCGCCCAGCCCGGCTGAGGGCCGGCTTTGGCTCATTCGCCGGCTCATTGGGGCGAGCATGGGCCCAAGGCAGTGACATCTGAACACAGCAGGGCGGCAGCTCTCGTGCTTCCCCGATTGACAGTGTTTCCTTCCTCACAGGCAACGACCGCACGCCCTCCGCGCCCCCTCCGAGCCCTCTGCCGGCCACTGCCCGCAGCCCCGGGACCACGCTGTTCCCAGTGCCAATAAAGGGTCCCCCGAGGACAGGGCTGCGTGTCCTTTGGCGCCTGGGCCCTGGGAGTCGCTTCTCTAGGGCAGCCTGGGCTGGTGGCCTGTGTGGTGGAGCTGCTCCTCGGGCGGGTGCTGTCATGTGCCCCCTGGCCCCTCAGGTCCCCCTTCTGCCAGCTCAGCCAGTGAGAACAGGTAGGGCTGTGGCCACTGTCCAGCTGGACCCTCCAGGGTCAGGGCCTGTGGTGGTCCCAGAGATTAGGTCCTGAGTCAGCGAGGGGCTGGGTGGGGCAAGGCTGGAGGAGGCCCTGCCCTGGTGGTGTCACCTCGGGCGTGGGGTTGGGAGGCCGTGGGTGCTTGGGCACTCCTCCTGGGCAGTCCTCAGCGGGGATCTGGGACCCTGGACCTGCGGGACGGCCCCAGGCTGAGGCGGGGATGGTGTCTCAGGGGTGGCTGGGTGGCCGGCAGCTGAGTTGCTGCAGCCAAGTCCTCCGCCCTGTGGGGAGCTGCTCTGCGCTCCCTCCCGCGGGGCCTCCGGATCACGGCGAGTTCCTCTCCTGTTCTGGACCCTCACCTGGCGCCACATCAGCTTCTGTGCTTGGGACCCTCGCCCGTAAGTGGGGTGACGTGGGGCGGGCTGGAGGATCGGGACCCTCACTCTGCTGGGACCTCCCCACTCAACCCTGGGAACTCTTGGAGGGACCGGAAGGTCAGAGCCTGTTCCAGAAGGGAGGCCACACCCCCTACGCTGCCCTCACGTCCCCCTGAACAGGAGCAGCACTCAGACTGCCAGCTGCCGCCCCCTAGGATCTGCGGGAATGAGACGCTGGGAGGAGACAGGACGGGTGGCAGAGCCGGACGAGCGCCTCAGCACCTGCTCCTCCACGAGGGGCTGCACAAGCTAAGGTATCGGTTATTTATTTTTATTGACTTCAGAGAGGAAGGGAGAGGAAATCATTGATCGGCTGCCCCCTGCATGCCCCACACTGGTGATCAAGCCCACAACCTGGGCGTGTGCCCTGACCGTGACCTCCTGGTTCATAGGTTGATCTCAACCACTGAGCCATGCTGGCCGGGCTCAGGTATCGGTTATTGATCCAGGACACCTGGCTGCTCGGTGTCCCGAGGGGTTCCTACCCAGGCCTGTAATTCAGCAGCCGCAGCAGAGCTCAGTGCCCGAGGCGGTGCTGAGACAGAGGAGGCGGGAGCCGGGTCATGCTTAGTGTTTTATTTAATAAAACAAGCCATGCCATCGACCCTCAAAACACGTGCCTGGGCCCGTCCACCTCACCTCCCACCAGTCCTGACCGTCCGTCCTCACGCTCCTCCAGCCTCAAACCGACGACCTGGCTCCGACAAGCGCATGCCTTTCGAAGGTTTAAGAATGAGAATGAGTCCGTGTTAAATATTGCATCGTCCCCTACAGACGGGGAGCTGGGAAACGTCGTTCACTCCGTGCACAGGACGGCGACCCCACGCTCGTAGAAGCTGCGAGGGTCTTCCTTGGTGGCGATTTCAAAGTCCACCGTGAAGATGAGGTCTGCCCGGGTGAAGTTCAGGTAGACAGGTAAGGTCACCTGCGAGGAAAGGCGGGGTCAGTGCTGGCGGAGGGAGAGGGAGGGGGCGGCGAAGGCGCCGAGGGCCTTCCTGAGGGAAGTGGGGCTCCTGGACTGTGGACCAGGGGCGGGTCCCGCTCCGGGTGGATAGGGGAGGTGACCTCGCTCTGGTTACGGGGTCGTGTCTCCCCGACCGCAGAGGCCAGGAGGCGCCACCTACCACATTAGCCTTCTTCTCCGCGTTTGTCTGCTTGACCCAGCGCAGCTGTGTGAGAGGCAGGACCGTGGAGATGGCGTTGGAGAGCGAGAGCTTGTTGTTGCTGCACATGGCCCCCTGCAGCTTCAGACCTGGAGGAAGGACCAGCCATTAAGAGTGGGGACAGCCCGGGAACCCGCGGCCCAGCTCAAGCTCCTGGCCCTCTGACCTCCTTCCACACGTCTGGGGGCGACACGGAGGCTGGGTCCACACCCTCCAACTCACCTGTGACCCCAAAGCTGCAGGCGTCCAGGGTGGTGTTCTGCGAAGTGGTGACATTGACCTCCAGGCAGAGCTCCTCCAGCGACCAGCTGTTGGCCTGGGCCACGTACTGCCTCGTGGCGGTGATATACGCCTCGGGCACAAACAGGCCGCCCAGACACACGTGGATGTTCTGTGGGGAGAAGCAGCCCCGGTGAGGAGCACGCCCCTGCGTCCTCCCAGGTCAGAGCTGGGCCTCTGCTTGCCCGCCGCCCCCTCCCCCAGCCCGCGCAGGAGCGCCATCACCACCTTCAGCTCCTTGGCGCCGCCAGACGCAGCTGCCAGAGAAATATTCTGCAGCTGTTTGATCCTCTCGCTGAAGTCAGACACCCACTGGATGACGGTCATGCCCGCAGGTACCGTGTAGTGGGACCAGCTGCGCGGCAAGATCCCTGCAGGGAGACCCAGGCTGCCGGCATCAGTTCCCACAATCCCCCAGCAGACTGGGCCAACCTGCTGGCACTCACCTGGGTCCCGAGTGTGTCCAGAGGCACACTCTGCCCCCTCCCCCCAGCGGCACCGCATGTGCGTGGCTGGGGCTCCGCCTGCCCTACAGCAGCTCAGTGCACCCGAGGGTGCGTGTCTGGAGGACCTGACACCACAGCCTCAACCTCTCACTCACAGCTCTGCCTGGAGGCCTCTGATGATGCGGGCTCCTGGGGTTGCTGGGCGACACCTGGGCTGCCCTGCGTCCTTGCACCTGCGGTGCCCCCGCCCCCTACATACTGCAGAAGTTGCATAAAGCTTTTAGTTCCTGTTCGACGGACCAACATAAAAGGAAAACAAATGCCTTTGGCTTTCCTTTCTAAGGCTGCCCGAGTGAGGGGCCCAGCAGCCAGAGAAGCTGGAGCAGAGGACGGGGTGCGAGACCTAGCGGACCTGCCGACGCTCTGAGCACAGAGGCCGACGCCCAGCCCCCGGGCACACCTTTCACCAGCTCGTTGATGAGCGTGCGCAGGTAGTTGGTCTGCTTCTTCTTCCCTTCGCACACTTGGACGACGTCAGCGAGATCCTGGCGGACATCCTGCAGCAACTTGGCGCCCATCTTCACTTCCCTCTCGAAGAATCGGAACAAAGGGTCCTAAGGTGGTTCGCACCGAAGGCAGAGCGAAGGGAAGAGGGTTTAGAAGAGGCCGTCTCCCCAGTAACCAGCCCCAGGACCCCAGCACCGTGCAGGTGCCCACAGCTGCCCGAGCACGATCTGGGCCCGACCTCCATGATGCTGGTAGGACCTGACAGGGTCCCCAGCTCCTGGGAGATGGACAGCCTTCGGGACTCGCCGTGTAGTGAGGCAGCCTCCCGTCTGGCTTGGGCGAGTGCCTCTGGGACAGCACTGAGCACAGTCTGCCACCAGCCACCTGGCTAAGAGCATCTCGAGCCCCTGGACTCGGGTGGCCCTGCCCCTCCCGCCGGCCACTGGCTAAGAGCGTCTCGAGCCCCTGGACTCGGGTGGCCCCGCCCCTCCCGCCGGCCACTGGCTAAGAGAGTCTCGAGCCCCTGGACTCGGGTGGCCCCGCCCCTCCCGCCGGCCACCTTGATGTTGTCCACTGTTCGCTTGAGATGGCTCAGCGTCTGGGGAATGAGGTGCAGCCAGTTGGAGGCGGTGGTGTGCAGCGTCCTCATCCAGGCGGGGCGCCCGTCGGACGTGGAGTCCGCCCGCGCCTTCTTCTCGGTCTCCGCGTAGGCCAGGTCGTCCTCGTCCTCCAGCATCTGCATCTTTAGCATCTTGCTGATCATGTCCACGCCTGGGCCACAGTCCCAGCAGCGGAGGGGGCAGCGAGGCAACAGGGAGAGCAGAGGAAGAAAGGACTTCATGTGAGGCCAGAGTGTTACCCACAGGCGTGCAGGAGGCAGCCCACCCACGTCGCACTCCCACATCGATGTTTCTCCTTCTCTCTCTAGAAATTACAAGCCAACCCCCCTCCCCCAAACAGATGGCTGGCCCCCAGCAGCCAGTTCTGAGCCCGGGGGTGTGGGGTGGGCCTGAGAACCTGCCTTTCTAAGAATGTGCAGGCGAGGCCCATGCTGGTCTGGGGACCACACTTTGAAAACCACTGGATCAGATGCTTATTGGGAAAGCATCTGGCAAGTGAAAAAATTCTAAAAACATTCCAGTAAGAGACCGATGGTTTAAAACATCCCTCAGTACCGGGTACTGCCAACTCTCAGACGACAAGCTGAAATGCTTTCTGAGTGTGGACTGACCCCCTCACTTGCACAGACACAGCCTCCCAGCCCCGCCTGAGCTGCAGGACTCTGCCGGGGTGAAGTCGCTGCCCCGGAGCAGGCGTGGGCGGCCTGAGGGGACCGGGCACTCACCCT